GGGATGGGGATTGTGGCACTGGAATGATGGGGACAGTGGGGACGGGATGGAGATTGTGGAATCAGGATGGGAACAGTGGCGCTGGGATGGGGATTGTGACACTGGGATGATGGGAACAGCGGTGTCGGGATGGGGATTGTGGTTCCAGAACGGGGGATCACAGTGCTGGGACAGGGATCACGGTCCCAGTGGGGGATCGTAGCACGGGACAGGACTCAGAGCACCGGGGAGGGGAATCGGCCCTGGGATGGGGATCCCGGTGCCAGGACAAGGATCACAGTGCTGGGACGGGGGATCCCGGTGCCAGGAGCGGCACCGCGGCACCCGGACAGGGATCGTGGCAGCAGGACGGGAAATCCCGGTGCCGGGATGGAGACCATGGCGCTGGGAGCGGGATGGCGGCACCGGGACAGAGCTGGTGGCACTGACCGGGCGGTGAAGGCGGCCAGGAAGTCCCCGGCGCGGCAGGAGCCGGGATGTGCCGGGTGCCCGCGGGCCGAGCACATCAGGGCACAGTCGGTGCCCTCGTAGCGCAGATGCAGGAAGGACTCGGTCTGGATCTGTTCCCTGCGGGGACACCGGCACCGCGTCACCCTGACCCTGCTGTCACCGCCACGACACCCCCCGCCCCTGTCCCCCCCCCCCCGCGTCGCTGTCGCCGCTGTCCCCGTCCCCGCGTGTCACCGTCCCCGCGTGTCCCCGTGCCTTGTCCCCCATCCCCAGTGTCACTCTCCCCGTGTCCCCCCGTCCCCGCTGTCACCGCCACCGCTTGTCCCCAGCCCCCTGTCCCCCACCCCCGGTGGCACCGCCGTGTCACCGCCCTGTCCCCGTGCCCCCATTCCCAGTGTCACCAGCGCCGCCACCGCATGTCCCCAAACCCCGGGACCCCAGCGACGGTGTCACTTGTCACCACAGCCCCCCGTCCCCTGTCCCCCATCCCTGGTGTCACTGTCACCACCACCACGTCCCCGTGTCCCCAGATCCCCCATCTCTGGTGTCATTGTCACCACCACCGCGTCCTTCCATTTCCAGACCCCCCGTCCCTGGTGTCACTGTCACCGCCCCCGTGTCCCCCCGTCCCCAGAACCCCTATCTCCAGTGTCACTGTCACCACCCCCGCGTCCCTCCGTCCCCAGACCCTCCATCTCCGGTGTCACTGTCACTGCAACCACGTCCCCCCACCCCCATCCCTGGTGTCACTGTCACCGCCACTGCGTCCCCCTGTCCCCAGACCCCCCATCCCTGGTGTCACTATCACCGTCCCGCGTCCCCCTGTCCCCAGGCCCTCCATCTCCGCTGTCATTGTCACCGCGTCCCTCTGTCCCCAGAACCCCATCCCTGCTGTCACTGTCACCGCCACCGCGTCCCCCTGTCCCCAGATCCCCCATCTCCGGTGTCACTGTCACCGCGTCTCCCTGTCCCCAGACCCGCCGTCCCTGCTGTCACTGGCATCGCCACCGCGTCCCTCCACCCCCAGACCCTCCATCCCTGTGTCACTGTCACCACCACCGTGTCCCCCTGGTCCCCAGACCCCTATCCCTGGTGTCACTGTCACTGTCCCCGTGTCCCCTCGTCCCCAGACCCTCCATCTCCAGTGTCACTGTCACCGCGTCTCCCTGTCCCCAGACCCCCACCCCTGGTGTCACTGTCACCGCGTCTCCCTGTCCCCAGACTCGCTGTCCCTGCTGTCACCGTCACCGCCCCCGCGTCCCCCTGTCCCCAGACCCCCATCCCTGGTGTCACTGTCACCACCACCGCGTCCCTCCATCCCCAGACCCCCCCATCCCTGGTGTCACTGTCACCGCCACCGCGTCCCCCCATCCCCGGGCCCCCCCTCCCCGGTGTCGCGGTGTCCCCGTGCCCCGCCGTCCCCGCACTCACTCGGCGAACCCCTGTTCCCGCAGCGCGTCCCGGCAGCGCCGCTCCAGCTCCCGCAGGCGCCCGTCGAGCCGGGGGAAGGAGTCGGGCCCGTAGGGGAGGGCACAGGGCTCCTGCTCCTCCTGCACCACGTCCGCCAGCGCCAGGCCCAGCGCCGACAGCACCCCGCTGTGCCTGGGGACAGCGCGGGGACACCGTGGGGACACCGCGGGGACATCTCCGGGACATCCCGCTGTGCCTGGGGACACCGCGGGGACACCG